TAACTCCCAACGATTCTGCAAGCTTCTCTTGCGTTTGGCACGAGTCCTCTTCGATCAGTAACTCCAATTCGGGATCCTCGAACTTTTTGGGCTGGCCGGTCCGCTCTTTGTCTTCGACATCAAAATCGCCCTTTTTAAAACGCGCAAACCAATATTGGCACACTCTAACCTCTGGAGCATATGCGGGGTATGCTTCCGATAACAATTGATGGGCTTCGGTGGCCTTTTTCTTTAAATGAAACAGGAAAAGCAAAGCTTCCCGCAAATGGTCTTTCGTCGGCTCGAAACTCGACATTTTCAACGCAGTAAACAACTTGTGTACGATAATTTTTTTTCACTTTGACAGATGGAATTTTATAGTTTTTTTGACGCTCTTTAACGTAGTTATACTGTCAATGTCAAAAAAATAGCGCATATATCAGTTACGCCATCTTTTATCAATACGAAAAAACTAATGTATAGACCCAATGTATGCTTTGGTTCAGTCTCATCTTGAGTACTGCAACGTTGTATGGCTGCCAACTTATGCCATACATATCGACAAAATCGAGAGCGTTTTAAGAAAGTTCACACAGTTCGCCCGAAGAGAATATCGTACAGCGGCCAACGGATACAATATCACCGAATACAACAAACGACTGGAAGCGCTGAGCATGACATCGTTGGAACGTAGGAGGGTGAACGCTTCAATTGTGTTCATGTACGACATCGTTAATGGGAACGCAAATTGTCACAATGTACGCAACGACATAGCAATAGGAGAGAGCGTACGAACGTTACGGCACACTGGCTACCTTAAAATCAAAGATAAGCTCATGGACATACAAATCAGAGCTCAAGTGCCTCAAATGTGCAAGTTTGCCAACAAAGTGGCTGATCAATTCAGAAACTCAACCAGCCGTGCAAACTTCGTCTCGTCGTTACGCGGCGAGCGGAACCAAAAATTTGATATTAAATATTGACAAATTGTTTTCTTACATCCTCACATCTGTATTGAAATAATGATAATTTTCTGTGATATTTATACTAATTTATTGAAATCTAGCATCATTGACTGTGATATAGCCATCCTTTGAGTTGGTGATTAACTTTTGACCGGTTATTGCTTAATAATGGAAATTATTTTCTTTTTTGTCAATGTATTTGCAAAACTCATTGTATTTTTCTGTCTTTCGGTCTCTACTAAATTGTAAATTTCTAACTACCAACAGGGACTTGTTAGATTAGACGTAAAACTTTTCTTCAATATATCACTTCTTTGATAAATTGATTGATGACTTTTGCAGTCATAAGGCCAAAACTACAATGTTAACGCCTCCACTGGCCTTTCATTTTGGATATTTAGGTTAGGCTTTGTTGAATCGTTTACATTTCGGCTTCCTACTCATGTCCATGTATTGGTTAGGTTATTTTGTGTTAAAATGTTTATAGACCAAATACTTATTCCAATCAAGAAAGACTACTACTAAAATTATCACACACTAAATTGTATATACAAACACGAAAAGATCAGGTTTTTCACGACTCTTGGAGTCGTTTTCCTGCAAACAAAGTATTCAGCCAGTTTTTGGCGGTGTAAATGAATGAATGAATGAATGAATGAATGAGTATCAAAATAAAATTATAAACAAATTTTAGATGATCCAATCAATTTTTGATTTAAAAAAATGGAGAGTGCCCGAGAATGACCAAGAATGACAAATTAGAACAGAATACTTAACGGACTTTTGTATAACAGCTTTTGAATTTGACATGAAATCTGACATATGGGCAAGAAATCTTAAATCGGGAATGGGTGAAAAAAAAAATTTCCCCAAATATCGCGGCACTGTGGTCTTTTTTCGTTAACAATGATCCTAAAGTATCGAGAAGTACCGCTATCACACGAAGTTATACGTTTATAGTTTGCATTTTCAACGTAGTTGTTCTTGTGCCACATGTTGTGTCAAAATGAGCGAAAATACACCATCGAACAAAATGGTCACTTTAAATCTTTCATTTCCATTATCATTGCTATTACAGTAGAACCTCGATTATCCGTCCTCCCATTATCCGTCACCTCCGTTAACCGTCACACCTTTTCAAGGTGGAAAAGTTTTTTTTAGTTCATTTTTCAGTTTATTTCACTTGAACATACGAATAAAGTTGCCAACTAACTTTCATAATCAAAATCTATTGTGTCCCTTGTACATTCGCACAATAAGATTTGAAATCAGAGGCTTTGCGTTTTCGGTACACTTCTCGTATATACAAGATTGTCCAATATTTTGGACAATGCACCAAATCTGTTCTCGAATCTATTATATATTTTTCACAACACCTTGTTTTTCATCATAAACTAATTAGAAAGTATTGAAATTTTGGTTATTTTTTTCTATTTATATGGAAGTCTCGATTATCCGTCTTTTTCGATTATCCATCAATGCGCTGGTCCGGTGCCTGACGGATAATCGAGGTTCTACTGTATTCAATTTTGTTTATTAGATTACGATGTTATCTTGATATTTTGGTCAGTTTTTGCAATGAATACATCTTGTTATTGTGCTTTTGAAGGCTCTGAAAGGTGCTGCAAATTCGAATGTAACCTTCCAGTCTAAAATTTCCGAAAGTTCTTTTTCATGTATACCTACATCAACAACAAAGACGCTATATTAGTTTTTTTTAAGAACTTTTTGCCTATTTTCTGGAAAATAAAATTTTTTAGTAACTTTATTTGACTAAAACACTCATACGAGCCTTCAAACATATGTAACGAGGCAGTCTTTGTTACCTTGGAAGAAATCGAGATCATTTGATGACGGATTTTTTCTTTGTGATCAATCTTATAACTGAACGCCACAAAGAATGATCACATTTCTATTCGTTATGTACCTAGTTGAATCAATTTCGAGAGTATTATTGCATTTATTTTAACCGTCGATGTACTTTGTAACGATCTAGTCTTAAATGTGTAACCTTCCAGTCCTTTTTTTGATCGAAGAAATAGAAGTCATTTATGACAAATTTCTATAACAAATCGATTCGAAACTAAAAATCATGATGAATTCTCGTATTTCTATTTGTTACCAACTGATTTGAATCGAATTTGAATTTGATATTTGACTTATTTAACCCGAGGAATTTTGTGTAACGAGGCAGTCTTTTTTCTGTAACGAGGCAGTCCGCATATTTTTGATCATAGAGCGACCCGAAATGATTTTTTTGGGGTATCTATGGTTTTGATCGTTTCATTGATCCTTCAGACAGCGAACAGAGCCTTGGAGTAATAAGATGCTCTGCTAGAGGAACTGGATTTCAGCTACATGTGAGACAACCTCCAAACACATCGCCAAAATTGTAACCTTCCAGTCCAACGAACAAACGGCTATATCTCGATGGGTGTAAAAGATAGAGAGAAGGTTTATTGGTATGAAATGTTTGTTTTGTGGCGTAGACTCTCCTCAGTATAATACTTCAAGTGGTTTTTGGGCTTATAAAGGAGATATGAGCACAGATATTTCGAAAAATCGTGTGAATGTAACGAGGCAGTCAGATTTCTTGCCCATATGCATTTTTCCAACTGTAGGTGGCGCGTCAGTGCTCTTTTAGAAGTTGTCATCCCGTTGGGTCAAATACAATCACCAACTCAATGGATGGCTATATCACAGTCAATGTTGCTAAATTTACAATAAATTGGTGTAAAAATCACAGTTATGCATCATTAATTCTATACATTTAGTAAGGATGTAAGAAAACAATTTGTCAGTATTTTATATTAAAAGTTTGGCTTTGTTTGTTTTGTACTGATGTGATGAATTTTGCGCGACTTGTTGAATTTCTGAATGGATCAGTCACTTTGTTTGCGTATTTACAGAATTGTGGCACTTCTGTTCTGATTTGTTTGTCCATCAAATTGTCCTTGATTTTTAGGTAGTTTGTATGGCGCATTTACTTTCCTCCAACGATGTCATGTTCAAAGCCTCAAGTCGCTTGTTGTAGTCGGTGATATTATATCCGTTGGCTGCTGTACGATACTCATTTCGGGCAAATTGAGTAAATTTCCTCCAAACGCTCTTAATTTTATCAATATACACGGCATAAGCTGGTAGCCATACAACGTTGCAGCACTTAAGATGAGACTGAACCAATAAGGAAAATAAGAATTATCATAATGTTCCAGCTCCAGTCTGTGATATTTATTCAAATGATTTTAACACAAGTACAAATACTGTTAAACAGAGAATTACTGAATATTTTAAAAGAAATAGATTATGGAGAGAGTAGTAAATTTAATGCAAATATAGCAATTTATATAATGTAACATAATATATATATTTATGAATATTTATATCAAACCACCTCTGGCGAAGAAATGCTGTATGGTGCAGAATAATAATAATCTTTCTCTCAGGTGGTTAGGCTTTTTTGGACCGTTTACAATTCGGCTGCCTACTCACTTCCATGATTCGGTTAGGTTATTTTGTGTCAAAACTTTTACAGACCAAATTCTTATGCCAATCGAGAATGACAACCATAATCAACTATTGTATTACTATCAATCAACTATTATTGTACAAAATCATATATTCAATCAGTGATTGGCGATGTTAAAAAAATATAAACAAAAGAAAAATGTATATCTAAGGCGAATAACAAATTTGTATAGAGAATTTCAAGAATTTTAAACCAAGTTCACAGGAAAGTAAGGGTTCCGTTGTTTTGATACTCCCCTTATTTCTGAAAAAAGGCAGTTTTCATTCATATTTTACGTCTGATCTTTACAAGTCACTGCTGGTTGAGTCATGTAAATTGATATGGCTATGAAATAATTATTATGTGAAAAAATCACCAAATTAATGGCTATGTTGCAAGAATTGAGAAAATTCATAAATATGTGAATGCATTGTACAAAAAGTATGTGATGTGATTGTGTCCAAAATAAATCAATATCCTTCCAATATATGTAGGGATTAACCATTTATTTATTTATTTTTATTCATATATTTTATTTTATCTTCTCATCAATACATCATTTCCATGATAAATATATTGTAGAATCTGAAAAATCAGTTAAATATAATGATGAAATATTTAAATATCAAGACGATGATAATGATGAGGATGATGAGGATGCAATTTCCTTGATTGGACCTTCCAGATAGTTGGCTAATGCGGTCGCTTTTTGTCGCAATAGTCCCATTCCCACAGTGCTTCTGGCGTAAAGACATAGCAGTAAATTAACTACTTGACAAATAACCACGTTTCCAGATTCACATTGCAGTAACATAAGCTTCAATCGACTATCACGGAACGCATTTTTCCCATTTTTTTGATATGCACTCCAAATATTGCTAGCTATAGCTGATGTGACCCGAGCATCTTTGTCGCCATACCCAGAGTAAGCCAATAAAGCTCCTTCGTGATTTAATAAAAGTGTATGTTCAACTCCACCGGTGTTTGCTTGATTCAGAACTTGTGTTAATGCTTTAGGTTTTAACATTGTAATGTAATTACTATTAAAAGGTACTGTGAAAATGCTGTTAAATAAGATATAAATATGTATATTTTGAAAACAAAAAATCGATTTGGAATTATTTCATATACGTTTTGCCTGAATAACACAAAATTACATGGTAACTATTTATTTGTTACATTTGACATCTCTTTCCATTGATTGTTTCGATAGTAAATGTCAAACGGTATACCAAAAACAGCGACCTCTTACAGCTCAATGCGTACAACTGTTGATGGCTGTAGCAATTGAAGTTTCATTATATTTTCGCAAGGTCACTTCAAATGAAGAACTCTTGAATTTCAGAATATTTTCTTTCTAAAACACTGTAAATACATTTTCTATAAAAACATGAAACATAGTGGTAGTGCATATTAAGCAACTATTAAAAATAAAAAATACTGTATACTTACTATTTAATTTATTTTAGAAGATACTAACTGATGAAATAAGAGCTGACGAGGAATAGTTGACATATTTAGTGGATGAGTTTGTTTACGTGAACGAAAAGAAAATGGACAGTAAGAATATTTCACCCAGCCAAAGTTTATTTAGTAAAGAGAAAACAGATGAAGTACTTGCTGGTCCGTCTAGTTCGGAAAAAGAAGGAAATCTTATTAAAAAATTGATAAGTGGAGAACTGTCGTTTTCTGAATATAACAAAGAAATGGATGAAAACACAAACATATCAGACGAAGACGAAGATGACGATGGTATCGAAGACTTTATACCACAAAGAGAAAAATCGAAAAATAAGGCCTCAAAACACTTTGAAGCGGAACTTCATAAAACACGAAAAGATGCAATGCGCGGAAATCTCAAAGGCCGCGTTAAAATGAGGGACGGTCGACAACGCAGACGATGTGTTTTACCAGCTGCATTGCAAGGTTTAATGGGCGAAGCCAATTTGCGATACGCACGTGGGGAAAACGACTTGGCTGAGAAAGTTTGTTTAGAAATCATTCGTCAAGTTCCATTGGCATCGGAGCCATTTCTAACTTTAGCACAGATACATGATTCAAATCCCGAAAAATATCTCCAGTTTTCGTTGATAGCTGCACATCTTAACCCTGCAGACTCAGAACAATGGATTCGTATTGCACAGTTTTGCATTGAACAAAATGACATCAAACGTGCTATTAACTGCTTCACCAAAGCAATAAAATTCAATCCCAAAGATATTGAACTACGTCTTAAACGTATTGAGCTGTTGGAATCAATTGATGATGATAAAATGGCTTTCCGCTGCTGGTATTCTTTAGTGTTCATTATACCGCTTGAACAAGGGGCATTCCTTTTGCAGACAGCTAAAATGGTTACTGAACGGTTCATAAAATCAAAACAATATGCTAAGGCACTGGTGGTCATGTCATACACTTACAGGAAAGTACCAGGACTCTTCCAGAATGAAGACTTGAACCAGCTTTTTGAACTGTTGATATCAAACAATGAATTCAAACAAGTTGTTGACATATTATGCAAACACACCGATCTACAAGTGACTTACCATACTAACAATCAATGCAATACAATAATTGATAGAGTAAAAATACCCAAATTAATGATTCTAGACTTTCGCAGTAAACTTATCGTGAGCTTGATTCAATTAAAAGCGTTCCATTTAATGGAGTGTCTAATCGAGAATATTTTTACACACATTAATATTACCGATGCTGGTGATTGCTACCTGGATGTCGCTGAAGCCTTGATGAAAATGGAACAGTTTGGTGAGGCGATTCGACTATTAGAACCACTACTCAAAAGTAAAAATTATTGTTTGGCAGCTGTTTGGTTAAGGCATGCTGATTGTTATCGCGCTATTGGTGATTGTGATAAGGCTATAATTTCCTATTCCCAAGTAGTTGCGATGGCACCACAACACTTTGATGCACGGCTCACATTAGCAGCGTTATTGAAACAGCAGGGACGAGATGGAGAGGCGCTACGAGCTCTTGAACAGAATTTAGAGAGTGAATTGATTGATCCTTGTGTACTGTATGAACGTTGTTTCATGCTTAAGGAAATTTGTGATTTTGAACAATATATAAACGTGGCAATGCTCCTGATTTCACGGCACTGTATCCGATTGCGAAATTCCTACGAAATGTTCGTAGTGACGCATACAAGCAAATGGAGCAATAAACTCCAGTTGATTCGTGAGAACAGAAGAGCTCGAAAAGAGCCAATCGAAGATGAGGAAGGCCCGGAATTTGTAGGCATATCTGAAAATCAGCCATCAATTGAAGAGGAATTTAATCTGTTGAAGTCTGTATTGGAAACATTGCTCAACATGAAAAAAGTAACTTTAATGCAAAGATTAACATTTACTGCCTTATCATCCAAACGTTTCGGAATACAATACACGCGGGAGATGTATTTTTATGCGCTTCTATCAACTATCTTTAATCGCGACTCGAATTTCGGCTTTGTACTTATCAAGGATCTGATAGTAAAACATTTGAAAAACCACAGAATGTGGAACCTCTTCAATGTTATTATCCAATTTACCGACAGCAATTGCCGTTATAGCAGATTTCTGAACCGTTTGATTGATCGTTCTGGAAATGCAATTGAGGAGTGGCCAAAAATCTTGCGTGCGAACTATTGGATTGTTTCTGGAACATACAAATATGCACTGAACGACTACATGAGACATTTCAAGATAGATCCATCACCATTAGTGGCTTTACTGATCGGTATCACTTACATGAGTATAGCTCAACAAAAATATACAACTAAAAAACACATGCTTATCTCACAGTCCATTTCATTTCTCAACGAATATGCAAAATTTCGGGAACCTGAGGCTTACAATGAAATTCAATATAATCTAGGTCGTTTACATCATCAATTTGGGATGTGTCACATTGCTGTTCATTACTATAAACAAGTACTAAAGTTTACAAATGAATTGATTCAAAATCATTCGATGCATTTGGAACTACGAAGAGAAGCTGCATATAATTTGCATTTAATATATAAGAAATCCGGAAACCGCGAACTAGCCCGTAAGATGTTGAACGATTTCATAGTTGTTTGAAAATGAGGGAACAAAATGGAAGCAAACTGAATTTTTAATAAACTTTTTATATTTAAAAAAAACAACTTATCTCCAACGGTTTATAAAATGTATTTTTATTTATACGTTCGACTTTCATGTTTTTCAAACTTCGATCTTTTACAACAAAATCAAAATCACAGATATCTTTCTCGAAATATTTACCATACATAAATTTGAAAATACAGTACGCCCCCGAAAATTAGAAATAAAATGTCCCGAGACCTTTTCTAATTTGCGGGGTTTTCTAATTTCTGAGGTTCTTACAATTCCATCAAAAATTGCTATGAAAAACCAGAAAAACCCCGCAAATTAGAAGTAAACCCCGGAAATTCGAAATTGTCCATACCCGAAACACATTTCTAATTTCTGAGGTTTTCTAATTCTCGGGTTTCTAATTTGCGGAGGCGCACTTTAATATGAACAGTCCAATAAAAAAGTGTCTAGTTTCAATTTAAACAGCATAAAATTCTGAGTAAAATATTGATGTTCACACAAAAAAGCATTTGATATTCAGACTTCCTGAAGTAGAAAAAACTTTCAATAAATGCAACAATATTGTTCTATCTCCAATTCGTCAGTGTTTTATTCGCATATCCCCACATACAACATTTGAATTCAGACAATTGAATGCCCATCCAACTCATTTCTAATTCATAATATCATATTATTAATATGACTCCATAACATCGCCTATTTCTACATGTAGTAAACTAATATTCAATGTAGGGAACATTTGATGTGGTTATAATGAACGTGAGACTTTATTCGCTCGATAAATAGATACGGAACAAAAATAAAGCAATCCAATTAAGTGGAACATGGAAAAGAAATCCGTAAGAATGAAACATAGCATATGATATGCCGTTTTAAGTATTTCGGTTTGCAGTGTTCCGTTTTAATAGATTTTTTGTCTGCAGTGTCGTTTTGAACGAATCCCCTCGCATTGTTTCATATTAATGGATCTATATCACATTGTTTCGTTACTTGAATATTTTTTCGTGTGTTTCATTTTAATTGATTCCCGAACTATTGATTACGTCACACGTATTTATCACAGAATGCATATCAAGTGATAAGGAGTGCGAATTTCGATGTGCCGATAACACCAATGAATTGGGCACACAAAATACTGAATTAGAATTGATCAAAAATTTAAATTTTTTTTTCGATTTTTGGCTTGTGTTGCGACTATCTACATGTGAAGTTTGTATGAAAACCTCGGAGCGCCGCTTCTATTGCATTGGCTTCCAAGGCCAATTTTACTCATCGAAACATCTCGAAAACGACTGGGTAAATCGGCAAAACGGACCGTGGTATGACTCTCTAAAGGGAGTTAAGAAACCCGGCTGGTTTGATGGACTAGAATATAAAACCGGTGTAATTACAGCTAATCCATGTATTCCCAGGATTTGGCCTGATTCTAGCACATCCTTTCTGGTGTAATTTTTTGAAATTCCATACAAAACATAAGAAAAATGACTTCATAAGTACTGGAATCAGTCCAAATCCTGAGAACCCATGGATCTGCCTAAATTCCACCGGATTTGTATTTTAGGCCATCAAACCAGCTGGGTGTCGAGGCCCCCTTTAGTGTAAATTTTTCCATAAAAGCCAATGCAATAGAAGCGGCGCTCCGATATATTTTGTGTACCCAATTCATTGGTTTTATCGCCACATCGAGATTCGCACTCCTTATGACTTAATATGCATTCTGTGATAAATACGTGTGACGTAATCAATAGTTCGGGAATCAATTAAAATGAAACACACGAAAAAATATTCGAGTAACGAAACAATGTGATATGAGGGCCTGAGAGTGAAAGTGACCTAACTCCATACAAAACACATGCTACCGTCACGCTGTTTTGTATGGAGTTAGGTCACTTTTACGCTCAACTTTTTGTTGGTCACTTTCACTATAAGGCCCTCATATAGATCCATTAATATGAAACAATTCGAGAGGATTCGTTCAAAACGACACTGCAGACAAAAACTCTATCAACACGGAACACCGCAAAGTGAAATACTTGAAATGGCACATGCCATGTTTCATTCTTACGGATTTCTTTTCCATGTTCTACTTTAATGAATTGCTTCATTTTTGTTCCGTATCTATTTATCGGGCGAACAAAATCTCACGTTCATTATGACCACATCATTTTATTTGTTTTTTTATCCCGATAGGCTATTATTTATAACTTCACTCTAGCCTAATTTTGCTGCATGATGTCTGAATATCAATCGCTACGTTGTAAGGTGACCATTAATTGACGCAGAATGGTTCACTCTCTATTTTAAAATCTACCATTTCTCTTTTTCAGGTTATGATCAGTCCCAAAAGAAAAGTGCAAAATATCTACATCTTTAATGTCAAGATATGTGTAGTTCATTGAAAAGCATATACGTGCTTTGGAGAATTAGTATTAGTATTCGTATCTAGATCAGATGAACGACTACTACCTATTGCATACACATGTTGCGTTTGTGGCGAATTTTCATCATTACTTCGAGAAGATGAAGTACTTCCATCCAATCCCCGTGGTGTTAAGTAAACATGCTTTGTGCCAGAATCCTATGAAAATGATACCAATTGAAAAATTGTCTATGTCGACCATTCCACACGAAATCGACCAAGAATTGGATCGACCCTCTCCGAATTGGCTGAAAATTTGCATGGAGTCTTGTTTTCGGTAGAAAATGAGAAAACCAAAATCTTAGGCCTGTAAGTGATAATCCACTTTTTATATTTTGAACCCATTTTTGGAGGCCCCAATGGGGTCAAAGTGGGTAGGTGATTTCACGGTTTTTTAGCTCCATCGATTCCCTTTTCAACGGTACCAGTGATTTGGCAATGTGTTAACTACTTCTTAATTAGATTTTAGTTACCACAAACCCATTTTTTTGATTTTTTCAATTTTTCGAAAAATTTACACTGGGTGAACTCAAAAATGTAGGCCACTTACAGGCCTAAGATTTTGGTTTTCTCATTTTCCACCGAAAACAAGACTCCATGCAAATTTTCAGTCAATTCGGAGAGGGTCGATCCAATTCTTGGTCGATTTCGTGTGGAATGGTCGATATTTTTGATTGTCATACGAACCTGGTCATCTGAATCAACTCTTCGAATACTTCCAAATAGAGGCGTTTGTGATGCAGATCTTCGTCCACTTGGTGGTGGCGACCACACGGTAGAGTATAAAGGCGATGCAAAACAATAGTGTCTTGTTTGAACAACGTTATCATAACTAAAGAAGGAAAGGAAAATAAAATAAAAAGAAAATATAATCGTGGAGGTAATTCATATGAATTTTTTCTACTCCAGTGAGCTCGGTGAAAACTCAAGACTGTGTTTCACGAATTACTTCAGATTTCTACATTTTTAGATGCTTTGTCGTTTTTTTTAAATTAAGCCTAGTTTACACTTCGCCGTGCGAAAATGATATTATGCGTTCTCGAAATCTCCGTCTGAATTTTTTCGAGGTGAATGCAATTTTCAGCTCCTCTGATCGTCTGTACAAACAGATAGGGAAATGTCAAACAAGAAAAATAAAGCGGCACCTGGAGACTGGTTGGAGAAATAGAGAATCATGCACATAGTTTGCTGTAACAAGTACGCGTCTGTGTTTGTTCGAACGTTGAAAGTATGACATATTGCACTTAGCCCCCAGGCGGCGCTGTATTGTTTACTATATTCATGAACAGGAAGGGTGGCAATTTTTTCTCATGGCCGGTTTTAAAGGTGTCAAACGAACGGACTGTCCGTCTTTTTTCCCATCTGTCTTTTGTGCCCGTGACAACAAAATTTTTGTGGGTTCTGAACGATTGGACGTTTTCTGATGGTCTTGAACGGACAGATGGACGGACAAAAACTACATTTTTTTTTATTTTTACGTAAAAATTACTAAAACTTTATTTTTAGTAACTAATTTGTAACTGGATTTTCATTTTAGATACATCAAACGTATTTTCACGTCAAAAAATCGCGTTGACAAGGCTTGTCCCGACACTGCGCCTTCTTGACAGTTCTCATATAAATGAGCCCAGAAGCGCCAACTAGTGCAAGAACATGTAATACAACCGTTGTATACCAATAGTATTCGAAAGCTTACACGTTGGGTATACTGTTATTGACTGTTTTGAATAGTAGTTCTTTCACATAAAAACATAAAAATCTGCTTGCATTACACTGATATCTCTCTTATTCCATTGATATTTTTTCCAAATGAGAAAAAACATATTTCAAGCCTCAATTGCACAGCATATCACTATTAGAATCATTGTGTCAACATGAATCAACTAATAAACAAACCAAAACAAACACAAACCACACAATGAAATACCACGTTTGTATAAATATCACTTGAAGAGAAAAACTCGAAAAAAACATGTTTCAAAAAAAAAATTATTCTAATAGTTTAGACCCGGTAAATATAAAATTAAATGAGATTTTTGTGTTTTCACGTATTTTCATCAACATGAATAACTGCGACAAATGTCACTTCATGTTGTCATTGAAACAATCGGAACGTGGAATGTCAACAAATGAACTGACATTTGTTCGCAATTCTTTAGTTACTCTTGTGTTGACAAAGACACGCAAAAACACGTGGAAAATGTTTGATTTTACGTTTTAAAATAACAAGATTAAATTCTTGCATTGAAAAAAAAAATTTGCGCTTTTTAATAAAAATGAACTCAAAATATTTCTTGAGAACAGGAAACCGCTCAATAAGCAATTGACACATGTATATATTTGTATACAAGCTTTTGAATTTGACGTACGTTGTGCTTGTAGTACTTGTTCTTGCACCAGTTGGCGTTGGAGTAGAGAGGGCATAGCGTCGGCTTGTCCGTTGACACCTTTAGCCGGATTGGATGTGCAAACAAAAATTATATTCACCTCAGGAAAATTTTCAAATATAAAAACGTTTGTAAGATTTTTGCATGCAAAATTTTTTATTAAAATTTTTAGTGCCTTGATTATTCTTATTAGGGCAAGCTATGTGTTATGTGCCGTACGCATATATCAAGACACCCTATATATACCTATTTATTTAAGTCATGTTTATGTAATGTTTTAGGTTTTGTCAATTTAGCATATTTGTTTTCGCATGTATTACTATTTGAGGCAACCAAAATATTGATTGAATTCCCAGTTCATGTAATAACGTCAGTCGAGTCTTTTCTTTCTCCCCGCTAACGTTACTCTGCCACTTGGCTACTTGATATTACACAGAATGGTTAATTTTGAACAAATCGAAATGAACTGGACGTGAATATTCATTTGTGATCACTCGCGTAGTTCGATAGCTTGAACAAAAAATACATTGCTTCTTATGGAGGCTAAATGGATGGATTTTTGTAAGAGCGCCTCTAGTGAAAATATTTTAGAATGATGGAATATTTCGAACTTTAATACGCTTTTCTGCTAATTTATCCAAACTCACCTCTTAAGTGGTAAATTAAAACCAATAAAAATTTACACATCGAAATATCTCGAAAACGGCTGGGAAAATCGGCAAAATGGACCACGGCAAAATGGACCACGGCAAAATGGACCACGGCAAAATGGACCACGGCAAAATGGACCACGGCAAAATGGACCGGCTGGTTTGATGGCCCAATGTTCAAATCCAGTGGATTCGGGCTGATCCATTCCCAGCTTTTCCTTTCCTGTGAGCATCTTTACAAGTCACACTCATGTTTTGTATGGAATTTTACTACAGGGCAAGTGCTGGGATCAGGCCAAATCCTGAGAACCCATGGATGAGCTCAAACCGGATTTGAACTTTGGGCCATTAAACCAGCCGGGTGTCTACACTCCCCTTGGGGAGTGACACCACGGTCCATTTGGCTGATTTTCCCAGCCGTTTTTGAGATATTTTCATGTGTAGTTTAATGAGAAAGATATCCGCCATGACAGCATTTTAGCCCGCCATGTTGGTATTTTGGTTTATATTGACAGAACATTCTCTACTTTGACAGTCAACGTTTCTAAAAGTAAACACAAATATTATCTGTCATAATCACATTCACCAGTTCTGATGTGCTTCAGAGAGCTTCTGACAGCGCCATCAATCCGAAGCGTTTGAAACATTAAAGGCTTTTGCTGATTTTTTCTGTCGCATTTTCATTCATGCTATCGCCTTATGATCACTCGTGTTCACCTGTAAAGGTGTCAACGGACAAACGGACAAACAGCCTACTTTTTTACACAAGTGGCCAAAATTATGTCTTATTGTACCAATAATATGGAAAGATATATACATAGGTTCTGACATAGTCTGATCTCGTTGATCCTGACCCCCCCTGGCAAAATTTAACCCCCAACGATTTTTTTGGACCCGTTGCCATTTTCGGACCTACAACGATTTTTTTAGTCCTCACTTTTTTCTGGATACCGGTTTTACACTAGATAGAATCGATTTTCAAAAGTGAGGACCTTTTTTTTTAGTCCTCACTTTTTTCGGAGACTGGTTTTACACTAGATAGAATCGGTTTTCACAACAGTGAGGACCTTTTTTTTTTTTTGCTCTTCAAATTCGAAATTGTGGATCACCCCCCCGCCCCCCCGGTCAGCAATTTTTTTCGGGAAGAAATTTACACTAGATGTAATTGATTTTTTTAACCACCCTTGAATTTTTGGCTTGACCCCCCCTGAATTTTTTGGTGTCAGAATGTTTGGATATATACCAAATTGTAGGTTTTTAGGTCCTCTTTCCATCGATTTATAAATGTTTCAGTTATTTTGAAATTTTTCTAACGAAATTTTTCGGACGGACAAAACCAAAATTTGTCCGTCCGTCCGTTTGAAAAATCTGCCTATCCAGCTTTTTCTCCTCAAAATTGGCACCAAATCTTCAAAATAACTGTAATATTTATATATAGATGGAAAGACAACCTAAAAACCTACAATTTGGTATATAGCTTCCCACATTATTCGTTCATTTAGACAAAATTTTGGTCACTTGTGTAAAAAAGTAGGCTGTCCGTCCATTTGTCCGTTGACACCTTTATTCACCTGCACGTCAACATCGCTCAGTTAAGCGAGCATGAACTCGAACAAACATAAACATTTATTTTATCGCATTGAACAAGGTGAACTGAACGCGAACGAACATGAACTCGAATTCCTTAATAAAACGAATTACATACGTAATCCAAACTTTTCCGCTCCGCAGCAATTAAGTTTACCTTCAATGAAAACTTTTTTCATAGCACTTTCGACCTTGAAAAATAACTATTTTGACCATTTCTCATAAGTCATCTTTGTGTGCGTGAGTTGTGTGTAGTGACTATCGTATTACACACAACGTAAGTGTGTTTGTAATACACTAGCGTGAACGCAGCAGCTTCTGTGTTACCGTATGCAGCATTAGGCAATACCGGTCAAAAGCCACACACATATATGCGGTATTGGGGACTTCGCAACGTCTGTTGAGAATCCTTGTTTTCGGCGCTCAGTTATAAGCTGATATGTACAGAAAGTTTTGCGAATTGTTCGACCCTGGCTGGAATTCACGCGTTTACAGAATTCACACACAATCTGTGTTTAGCTGTGGGCTTGTGTTGTATCGGCAAAACGCAGTACACAACAATTATTATCAAACAAGGGGTGCTTCAGTTTTCACGAGTCCATAGTTCCCGGTGAAACGAAAAAAATTTCGCTTCCTAGACGTATTTTTTCGCAACCAATTTCGCTGGTGGAAAACTGAAAATTTCACCGGTGATTCTTTTTCGTTTCACCGGAAACTGTGTATTTAGCTTTAGAAGTATCATTTTCGAACAGAATTTCCAAAATTTCAAGAAATTTCGATTTTGGACCAAATTTATGGGCAAGTAGGTGTTCGGTTGTTCGAAGACTCCCATTATTTTTGCAAACAAATATAAGTTTGCCTGAACCAAAACCCTGCAAAATGCTTTTTTCGGGTACTTCCCATACAAAAGTGTAATTTTACAACGTTTTTCAGGTTCTCAGTCAGAGGCTTATGGTACGAAATTGGTAGGTCAGAACAGGCTCAAAATCATTTCGAAGCTTTGTCTCGACATGCCAAAACTTTTTTTCTTCTACAGATTCCAATTATCTCGTCATCTTTTTGAAATATTCGGCGAACAAAAAACGCGAACGCCATACGCTCATCGCAATTTTACACATTTGAATGGGCAAGCGGAATAATGAAACGTAATTCTGTTTTCAAATGAAGTGCCTCTGAGAAAATTTTTCAGTAAAAAAGCCCCACAAAAATATTGTCTGATAAAAATTTGTATGAAAATCTTATTCAGACAATATTTTTGTGGGGCTTTTTTACTGAAAATTTTTCTCAGAGGCACTTCATTTAAAAACAGAATTACGTTTCATTATTCCGCTTGCCCATTCATTTTTCATAGTAACCAAAGTATTTTTCGTGGTATATAGGTCTTGATCGATGGGATTTGTTCCCATTTACATTGCGTAGTGTACAGATATGCGCGTTTTGAAGTTTGGCGCGACTTCGTACGTTAGTTCGTTCGACATGATTTTTAAAAATTATTTGGTTCGTTTAGTACACTATAATATATTTTTCTTTTTTGTATACCGAATTCGTTTTTCGCTTTCTTTGGATAATTTGATGACATATATTTGAGAAACTTTACGAAAAATGTATTCCTTGCAATATTTTATGTCAAGTTTCACCATGACATAGAAATTTAAGGAACATTTTTCTTTATTCGGTTTTTACCGTTACATGAAACGTACATTGTAAATGTATATTGTAAATGTAAAAGGTACTAACTTTGTTTTTTTTTTCTCCATGGGAGTCCAAAACTTTGGATTTTTTAATTCCAAAACAGTTTCTGTTTTTATGTTCAATTATTATCTGTGACTAACTACAAATTGAGATTAAAACGTTATTACCAATACGATACTTGAAAATTTTCATATCTATTGACTAGATCGAGAGGAGAGTATGTGAAAAAATTCTAATATATTTTTAAAGAGGAGAGTATGTTTTCTGATGATTCTGTTGGCGTTAAAGAAGAGTATATTGTAGTACCGTCTAGCCTCTGCGGTCTTCACGGTTTTCGCGCAACTGATAGGAGATAACAACATGGTGTTGTTGTACTCGAACAAAGTTGTAGCACTCGAGGTCTTCTATAACATTGCTGAAGACATCTATCTCTTATCTCTTATCAGTTGCGCGCAAATCGCGCACATAAAAAAGCAAATTTTATATAGAACTTTTTTTTCTTATCATTTTTCGCGCTTTCCGCGGAACTAATAAGAGATAATGTTATAGAAGACCTTGAGTGCTACAACTTTGCCGAAGACACCAAGTTGTTATCTCTTATCAGTTCCGCGGAAACCGTGGAAAACCGCGAGGACCCGCCAAAAATGAACATACTCGCTTTTAACCATTTTTGAGTCGAAAGAAACTTACTTTTCTCTTTCATAACAAAGTCAGATGAACTTACTCTCCTCTCGATCTAGTCAATAGATATATTATGATGTATTATGTTGAGTATTGGTTATTGTGGTAGTATTGAATTTAATACAGAAGTTTAGCTGATTTTTTGATTTTTGGTGACCCGAACTTTATTGTACTCTCTATGCTATCTGTCTAATCCATCTATACATTGTGATGTAGTACATTTCATGTAACGGCTCAATTATAGTTTGTTATGCAATAACAAACTAGGCCCAAAATGAGTCCTTTCGTAGGTTCTAAAAGACTCTACGCGTAGCGTAGAGCGAGAATGTTCACCGAGCGAAGCGAGGTGAACTTTCTTGTTTATAAATAAATTTGGAGTTTTAAAAGGTTGGGACTCGAGTAATTCTTGATGAATTAGACATTTACCTGGGTAAATAGCTGTCCGTTTCCAGTGGATTATAATATCGGGATGTAGATGATGAGATTCCATGAGACGGTGTATTATATCGATTCGTACTATATGGAAAAGGTGTGTCCCGGTGTTTGTACATATTAGTCATTTTGTAGTTCCAATGTGCGCCAAATGGAATCGAAATTCTCATTGGGTCAACATAATGTGAATATCTAATCATTGGCTCATAGGGTGTTTGGGGATGGTAAGTGTCACTCCATCGAACTTGACTAGGTGTAAAATCTCCTTTTATGTAAAGCTAAAATAATTTTGAATATTATACTTCAATTCAAATAAAGGACAATTGGTTACTCACTTGAATTGGACGGTAAAAGCCCTTACTAGAATGTCTAGGAACACCCAAGGTATAGCTGTGACTGAAACCAACTTCAGGACTCAACAAAAACTCGTGAAAATTATTCGGGAAAAATTCAATATTCTTGTAGTTGTTGTAAATATTTGGCTGCAAAGAATTATTGCTTTTGTCAATTTTGGTCTTATACCAAATATCGACTGTAATGAAGTAGTCTAAAAAAACATAACTGTATGACTATGAAATAAGGTTCAAATAGAAGCGTTTGTCGATCAAGTGAATCTTATTCCAAAATCATGATGAAGAATTATGGTATTTTAAAATTATTCTTTTAATAATCGATTACATTACATACCGACAGCTTCTTTCTTTTCTTATAACTTGCCCAGTTCTGAGCCTCTAAGATAAGCTTCCCTCCAGGTCGTAATTGATTGAACATCCGACGAAAAGTCATTTTCAAACCAGCATCACCAAAATTCAAATGAACCCATTTTGTTAGCGATAAGCATAGAATCAGATCATATTGTTGTTTATCAGAAACCATTTGTATTTCGTCGGTTACGGCATAGTCAAGTGTGCGAAAAAATACGTTATCTGGAAATGTACCCTTGTGAGCTCCATTTGAGATGGAATCAATTTTAATTGTTGATTCAACCTCATTATTATTTGGTAACTTGGTGAAAGTGCATGATTCCCTAGCTTGATCTTGTTGCGCGACTGCCGATTGTTCAGATATTTTCAGATTTTGAGTGCTGTTGCTTGCAGGTGATGCGGATGGTGATTCGTTTTTGTATTTAACATTCGGGAAACCACCAAAACATATTGGAAATGTTAGTGGAAAGAAGTCAACTTGATTTGAAGATTGCCTTTCCCGATCTTTGACTCGAAAATACGATTTTATTCTCTTTGAAGACTTTTCTCTGTCATAGTCACAATCTGATTGTTCAATATTTTCTCCAAACTTTGGTTTACAGCGCAACTTCAAATTTTGTGATTCACTTTCAGGAATCCGTTGGAAAATACGGAGATTTCGACGCGCTCTGGATATCAATTTTTTGTCAATGTCCACACCCACTATTGATTTTGGATTCAACTTTCGACCAACAGCGATCGTCATATGACCAGTGCTGCAACCAATATCTAAAATATCCTTATCCTTGAACAAGTAAGCATGGCGTAAGAAAACTGTTAATCGTACGTCAGAAAGGTTGATAATTGAATTTTGTAAGCCACAGTTTTGCCCAACGTAGTTTCCAAATTGATATTTAACTGTTTCTTTATTAAATCCAAATGCGGCTGTATTATTTGCTGTCTGTGTTGAATTGCTAGATTCATATATAGGTATCGCTCGTTCTGGTGAACATTCTTTTTTGTGGACTGTAGCATGTAGTTCACCCGATTTGGACTGTTCAAATAATGACGAGTCACTTCTTTTATTACTATTTGGTTCTTCAGAATTATCTGCGTCTAAAAAGTGGTAACGCGAAATATAATGATTGGATATTCAATTGGTCACATTAGCTATATTTTTTCATCTCGTAATTGATTACATTTCATACTTACCACTCGTTGAGGTAGTTCTTATCCGATTTCTTGGTGCACCCAAAAGCACTTTTGGGGGCCGTTTCCATGCACCAGGCTGTGGGATGACTGGGCTTACGATTTTATCTTTTGAGTCGAAACGTCTTAGTTTTTTAATTCCATTTCCTGTAGCACAACAAGTGCCTCCACCACCTTCACTGAATTTTCTCTTGCGCCCTGAGCTGTTGCTCACCGTACTCAAATCTAACTGTAAATCGCGACTAAACTTGAATTTCTCGTCTGTATTTTTAGGCATAGTTACTATTTCTGATCCCAAGTATTCAATCGTCGAATCTGAGAGTTCATTTGAAATGTCAATACTCGTCGGCGGCGATGCTGTCAGTTGTATTGTATCTGCGGTGGTCGGTACATCTTGATTCTCAAATTTTTTCGTTGCCTGCGTCGAAATATCTGGAACACTCTTTCTAATTTTTTTCTTTCTACTGCGTTGTTTATTCAATCGGCGTGCTTTGAGTGGCGAAACCAATTGTTTTTCATATTCAACTGAATCGACAGGATCGAGTAAATGTAATGGATCGTATATATTAGGCGGAATAATTACTTCGACTTTGGGAGGAGTTGTCATTGGAGATGACTTCGGTGTCACAGCACCCATCGACACCAATGCTTCATCTTGTAAACTGTTCAAATTTAATGGATCCGAAATATTTCCTCCAAGCAAAAATTTTGTTGGAGGAACAATAATATCTTTTCGTGGTCGTTTGTCTGGCAAAAAAAACTTAGACACTCCACCACCCCGGTGCATTGCCTGTTTATTGTTGAAGATAATTTTAGGTACCTTTGTATATAAGTGTTTATTTCGAGTATTTTGCAGCATATTTTCAGCATCAGATTTGGAGGTATTAGTTGGTTTTTGACGTTTGTACGGCTTGTTCCATTTTTTGTTCTTATTTAGATTGTAATGACGCTTACGTTTTTTTGATTTTCGGGTGCTGCTTTGAGAATTCGGATTTGACGGAACATTCGGGCCATTTTCTATGTTTAATGAACTATCTGCTTTAAATATATCGTTTTCATTGTTTTGGTTTGATGTTCCTTCGTTGGCATCTTCCTCAAATTCATCATCCCTAAGATTGTTCAATACCTCTACAGCATCAGCATTATTCACCTCTATATTTTCATTGACTCTATTATTTTCCATAATGTTATTCATATCTTCATGCAGGTTCACAAGCGGAACATTCAAGTCGATTTGGTTTTGATCGTTATTGTTCAAAAATGGTATTACGTTATTATTATTGTCCAAAGCATTATCGTATAAAACATCCATTTTTTCTGGAAACGACCCAAAAATAAACTTGTTATCTCGTTCAAGAGTTACAAGTTACATGATAAACGAGATCTCAAATCTATGCGATGGTACTTCATTGGATAATTTTCAGATGAAATTATTATCTGTAAAGAAAGAATAATGCATAAAAAATATGCTGGGAAAATCTAGTATTGTTCGAATTTCTTGGATTTCTGAACCTTTTCTAAAGCTTATTCATCAAATGAAATCAATATTGTCGATAACTCAAAAAACTAAAAATCTTTTTGTTATTTTTAAATTTTACTAAATTCCAGATTTGTTATTATGTGTAAGTTTCGGCTACAATTCTGCTCGATAAGACTTTAAAATGGGCAGAACATATACTTTCTTTACTCAATTGATGCTTTTGTAGTAATCTCTTCCCTATAACAATCAAATCCATATCCCTTCCATAGATATCCCGAGATTTAAAAACAGTGAAAGAGATTCATTCCCGGCATAAGATGTATTTTTGATGAAAAATGTTTTTGAAAAATCATATAGTTTGCGCAAATAATAATTCCAAAATCCATAGATTTTTGGTTCATATTAGAAACTTTTTGGATATTTTGTTGGAATATAACAAAATCCATCGGAATAAAATTCAAAATTAGACAGTAATCTTTATATTTTAATGTTTTAATAAAGATTTTTCTATACCGTTGGAATATTTTTAAACCGTATGTTGCTTTTTTCTCCTTATGTTGCAAAACTCAATATACATCAATAATAATAAAAATGGATTGATTTCGTTTCTACCATTTCGCTTCAATTTTGTCTTTAGAACTCTATCAATTTTTTTCACTGTGTTTCATACCTTTTCGCGTTTTTCTTTTGTTGTTGTTTCGGTATTTACTTTTCTCCCATTTGTTTTTTCTCTTCTTTCACCTTTATTTTTTCGACTAGTCTATTCACTATTCACGGCTCACGTTATTCGCTACACATTTTGCTTCGAATAATGCGTTTAAGAAACTAAATTTAGAGACAAACTTCACACCATTCATACTCAAACCTGATGAGGCACATACACATGAACAAAAGTTTACAAGAATATTAGAACCATTTGCAACCTTACTTTATGCTGATTCCATTGAACGTGCTCATTGCTTATGTCATTGTACGAGACAAAGAACACACTCACGTTTAAAAAAATCAAGATTGCGTTTACATTGCAGTCCATAATAATTATTATGTCAATATTTTTGAGATTGTGGAATTAATTATTACTTTTATATAGTTTTTGGGGTGTTTTTCATAATCTTGAAAAGAAAAATATTAGATTTTAAATTAAAGAGAGAAAAAATCGGTTTCAATTTATGGTGTTCACACAACGGAGCAATTCACACTACTCGAAGCAAAAAACTGTCTATTTCGAATATGTTTTCGGAACAGTACCCAGCATCTGTCAAATTCAAATATTTGAAATGACAACCATTCCAATTTCTCTGTGTCGACCGAACTGTAAATGTTTATCGATGTTTATCTTACGAGATTTTGGAACGAAAACATAGAGCCGACACTTCTATTTCATTTCATACAACGCAACACAACACAACAAACTCGTTTGTTACTATGGTTCGGTGTTGCATTGGTTTACTTTGATTCCGTTATGAGCAGATTCTGCGGACTTATCAACAAGAAAGGATCAATTATTAAATATAAATTAATCACTAGAAGAGATAGACAATGTCTATTATAGACATCGAAGAAAATGTATTGTCATTGATTGACTGCATCGCCTTTGATTCAAACGTTGCTTTGTTAAAATTTAAGTGTTTTTTAAAAATTTTACACGTAAAGTAAAAATTTTTAAAGTAAGAATAATTCTATTTTCAATAATTATGCAAACAACAATGCACGCATGCACAGTTAAAATTAGGACGTTTAAGGCCTGAAAAGCTATTAACGCTTATACATAAGCATATCGCTGTAACTAGATTTAAGTAAACAATTTAATACGAAAAAAACGTTGCTTTGTTCTTCTTAAAATTTAAGGGCTCAAACATTTTTGTACCATTTCAATGAAGATAGATAAAAAATTTCAACTCAGGCGACACTATATTGAAAACAAATGAACTATTTGTCGGGCGTTCAAAACCCGAAACCCCGAGACCCGACAATCATCTACAGTTTTTTTTGGATTTTGTTGAAAAGTGTGCAACCAAAAACTGTTTTTTGAAAGCGCACCTCACCTCCAACTAAATTTTATTTAGTATATTTGTGTATAAATTCAATTTCGAACATTTTCACGGGCCGTTCTTGGCAACCCAGTGAAGCGCAATGGTAATAAATTCAGCAAATCCAAAACCGTTCAGAGTTAAGTTTGCTGTGCTTTTGTCCCTTACGGAATATCACTGACTTGAATCATGAATTTATAAATGCGGGTCTGCAAATTTATAAATGGGTGTCAAAAAAATGAAGACCTAAAAAAAAGGTCCTCACTTTTGAAAATCGATTATATCTATTGTAAAATTTTCCAAATCGCTCGAGGAAGGTCTCACCTTTGAAATCCTAGAGGGGGGTAAAACCTGAATACCCCCCTTGCACACGTGTGCCGCCCGTCCGAAAACCAAAACATAAGTTCGGATGTCCGGTTCGAATGTTCGAATTTTTTTTCGGACGGACGATGGTATTTGTTCGAACTTTTCAAAAAATCTTCTCGGCTCAAATGATTTTTTTTCTAATAACACAATTGGGTGGCAACTAAAAACGAGAAAATGACCAAAAGCGTATTTTCATTCAATTTTCTTTTGAATTTTTCTTTGGCTCGAATATTTTTTAGCTTTGGATTTTTTTTCGGGCGTCCGAAAAAATTTGAAAAGTTTGAACAAATACCATTGTCGGTCCTGAACAAAAAATTCGGACTTTCGGACCGGACGTCTGAATTCTTTCAAAAAATGTTCGGACGGACAGACGGACAAAATTTTGTCCGTTGACACCTCTAGATCAATCATGTGACAGCTGTCATCTTTACATGTCTATTCTTTTCAATACAGTGGAACCTCGATTATCCGTCCTCCCATTATCCGTCACCTCTGTTAACCGTCACGCTTTGCGGAAGTGAATTTTTTTTCAGTTCATTTTACTTGAACATACGAATAATGTCGCCGACTGACATTCATAATCAAAATCAATTGTGTTTCGCTTGTACATTCGTACAATAAGATTTGAAATCGAAGGCGTTGCTACCGAAAACATTTCTCGTATTGGACAATGCAACAAATCTATTTTCGTATCTAACATATGACACCCATAGAAAAAGAGAACAACTTATGAGCTCTTAATCCATAACTGATGTGAGACGGAAAAATCTTAGAGCAAAAAAGAGACAAATAAAGTTGCGAGCAAAAGTGACACAACTCAGCATTGAGTGGAAAAGGCGTTTTTTGCATTTTTCTCGTTACTGGAAATAGATAACGATTAGGTGTGTTCAGCATTATTGTAGAACATCAAAAGAACTACAAACCTAGTCGCTATCTTTTTCCAGCAGGCGGAAAAATGCAAAAAAAACGTCTTTTCCACTCAATGCTGAGTTGTATCACTTTTGCTCGCAACTTCATTTGTCTCTTTTTTACTCTAAGTTTTTTTCCATCTTATCTATAGAAAGAGAACTCATAAGTTGTTTTTTTGTTCTATGGGTGTCATATATTTTCTACATCACCCGATTTTTCATCATAAACTAATAATAATATGGAAGTTTTGATTGGTTGGGCTTATTTTATGAAAACCTCGATTATCCGTCTTTTTCGATTATCCGTCAAGGTGCTGGTCCGGTGCCTGACGGATAATCGAGGTTTCACTGTACTCATTTTGTCTATAGTTTTATTTAATTTTAAACTATATTTGGTCGTCTATAATCATCAAGTTATATATTATTCTGTTCGTTGAGACCTCCCTCGTCATAATTTTATCAAGTTTCGTTTCCGAATTTGTTTTTTGTCGTTTTTTCTGTGCCAAATTTTATTTACGTGTTTACGTAGATACCTAACCTATCAAAATGACGTGCATAGATTGCATTGAACTAAAAAAACACCTCGTTGACATCAAACAAAAACTTGCCCCCATAGTTAAAATGCTGGATGGACTGAATTTGGATCCCACCCCCATGCTACCCGCACTAATTCCAACTGACAATCAAGATAAAGTTGTTGACTTGGACATGGATTGGTGAATCGGAATCAATTGGCAACTCTTTGCCAATCACATCACTAAATGCCAATGTGACACTGCGGAACAGATCGGAAAATGACTCGAAAATGACAAAACCGGACTCACGCGGAGCCGAGCAGGGAAAAACGGAAGCCAAAAAATCAGTGTTACCTACGCCAATTACCACCCGATCTCTTTACGTTGCTCCCTTCCATCCGGGGACCATTCCATCCGACCTCACGGACATTTTGTAACACACCGAAGGTTTCACTCATCTTGTTGGTGGTATCAAGGTAATTGGTCTTGCACGTAAAAATCGAAAAGTAACTCTTCAATCGTTCAAGATCGACATTCCGAGTGAGCATTATAAACTGTTTGCAAATTCACCTATCTGGAATGAGAGAGAATTCATAGTGAAAGAGTTTGAATAGTGCAGCCGTGCCAGAAAATCGAAGAAATTCGTGCGGAAGGTTCCTTCAAAAAGGCCATAACTCAGCTTCGAATGGCCAGTTGAAGTCAAAAAACGGATTTGGCAACAAAAACCAGCCTACAAAATAGAAGACAACGGAAATTCTTCAGGTAAGCAACAGGAAAACGATGCGCTCGCGCCCAAACCGTCCACGGAATCCCGCAAACCATTGCTCAAAGATTTGCTGCAGCCAAAACCGACAGAAACAAAATCCACGGCAAGTCGTGAAGAAGCGCTCCAACGACTACACAGGTTACTGCGGAGGAAATCGTCGCGATTTTCATCCCCGGTGTTGCAACTAACTCAAAGCACATCGGATGACAACAGAGTTTCGTGCATCACAATTTACTACCAAAATGTTCGTAGCTTGCGCACTAAACATGATATGATAATTTTAACTGAGACGTGGCTGAAACAGGACATCCATGATGCCGAATACTTTGACGAATCATACTTAGTATATCGTAGAGATCGACGCTATGCCTTCTTACGTCAACGCCAACTGGTGCAAGAACAAGTACTACAAGCACAACGTACGTCAAATTCAAAAGCTTGCATACAAATATATACATGTGTCAATTGCTTATTGAGCGGTTTTCTGTTCTCAAGAAATATTTTGAGTTTATTTTTATTAAAAAGCGCAAAAAAAAATTTTCAATGCAAGAATTTAATCTTGTTATTTTAAAACGTAAAATCAAACATTTTTCTCGTGTTTTTGCGTGTTTTTGTCAACACAAGAGTAACTTAAGAATTGCGAACAAATGTCAGTTCATTTGTTGACGTTCCACGTTCCGATTGTTTCAATTACAACATGAAGTGACATTTGTCGCAGTTATTCATGTTGATGGAAACACGTGAAAACACAAAAATTTCATTTAATTTTATATTTTCTAAAATATTAGAATATTGTTTTTTATTGAAACATTTTTTTTTGAGTTTTTCTCTTCAAGTGATTGCTATATTTATACAAACGTGGTATTTCATTGGTTTGTGTTTGTTTTGGTTTGTTTATTGGCTGATTCATGTTGACACAATGATTCTAATAGTGATATGCTGTGCAATTGAGGCTTGAAATACTTTTTTTTTCTCCTTTGGAAAAAATATCAATGGAATAAGAGAGATATCAGTGTAATGCAAGCAGATTTTTATGTTTTTATGTGAAAGAACTACTATTCAAAACAGTCAATAACAGTATACCCAACGTTTAAGCTTTTAATACTATTGGTATACAACGGTTCTATTACATGTTCTTGCACCAGTTGGCGCTTCTGGGCTCATTTATATGAGAACTGTCAAGAAGGCGCAGTGTCGGTAGAGATGGACTTCTCAAACGTGGTGGCGGCGTATTAACCCTTTGACGACCTTTGGGACACATATGTCCCATTTTGTTTTTCGTCAATAATTTTCACATTTTTAAACCGATTTCGATAAAATTGGTTTCTATTGAAAGAGAATGAATGTAGCTACCAGAAAGTACCATAATATTGGATATTTATCATCACTGTGCTCAAATAGAACACTTCAAAGTCAAAAAATCTTGACTTTTTTTTCAAGTTGCGCCAAACCCTATATAATTTGAACGGTGCAACTTTTAAAGCTGAAAATTTGAAATGTTGTGCGGAATGTCCGTTACTTTCTAAAAATAATCGACTTTTCTCCAAAAAAATATTTTTTTAAATTTTTATTGCTTTTGGCGCGATGGGACATATGTGTCCCATTGGTCGGTAAAGGTAACTAATTACCACTGGTTTGCCT